GCCATGGGGGACACACTGTGCTTCTGCAGAAAATCTGCTGCTTACCGACTGACCGTGAACATGATAGCCCAGCCCTCACTCTTTAACTCTTATTGCCCTGTAGAAAATGGGAGTCCTGCAGGATCAAACTGTCTGTGCTGACTTGGTGCATGGGGAGCAGGAGGCCGGGAAGAAATAAAAGCAGCAAGAGCTCTCTCAAGTGGTAAAAAAGAAAACTTCTCTCTCCTCAGCAATCAAAAGACTCTTTTTTTTTTTTTTTAAATCCCCTTGGATTTTTATCAACCAGGCAAATAACTATATTGTATAAGGTTTTTAATTGCCTTTTTAAAACCTTGCAGTAATTTGTTCAGATCAGATTTTCTTCTCACAGCTAAATCAAGTCTCGGAATGGCCATAGAATATAGAATTGCAGCAGTACAGCAGTAGTAGTTTAAATTAGGCACTTCAAACCTGCAGCATTAGTCAGGCAGGTGTCATTACAGCTTATGATTTTCTTACAAGATGAGTCTTTAAAGTGTCAGATTCACACACCCTGCTGCATACATATACACTGTGCAGTTTTTATATGACTGTGAATTGTGACAATGTTTGGGTTTTAGTCATTTGAAGATGTCACCTCAGGACTGGGGCCTTTGATGAACCATTTTTACTTTTTCTATGTGGGTGGAGGATATCATTTTCCCACATCCACTTACTGTCACAGACTGTAGGACAGCCAGTATAGAAGCATGTTCATAAGACAGTTGATATTTTGATATATGTGTAATTTGGGGTTTTGTCAATTTTACATGTTGTGTTTATGGCAGCTTCTGTGAAGGTATCTTCAGACTGACCTTTGCCTTACCTTAACTATAGTTATAGAAAATGAACTGCACTCCACATTAAAAGCAATTCCCTTGCCTCAAGCCTTATTGTGAATAAATGTATGCATTGTAAACATATTGTGCAGCATCTATGTCTTACCCACTCCATTATTTGTTCTTCCAGGCAACTGACCAAACAGGAGTGTGTTAGACTGCAAATCTACATTTTCACTCAGCAGTTACCCCTTCATAACGGTAGCTAGGTCGGTATACAAAACACACACCAGCCCACATCCATAAGTCAGTCACATCTCTACTGATGTCTGCATTACAAAGAATGGATGCACAGTGAATAATACATGCATAAAATACAATAAATAAAAATAATAAACCTAGAACTAAACCAGAACAGAGCAAAAACCGAGCACCGTTTCTAACCAACGTGGTGTTTCAGCCACTTCAACATCAGATCTGCCTCGTCCTGTTAAAAGTCCCAAAAGCCAACACCTCCATGAGCTCTCTGTTGTTCCAGATCACTGGTAACAGTAATTGGAAACAACTGAAAAAGGCTTTGAGCTGGAACCATTTTCATCTGTGTGACTCACTTACACACATTTGCTGGAGATACTCGAAGTTATTTACGTGAAAACTATGACAAGCCACAGTGTTTCCATGTTTGGTACTGTTTTGATCAATCTCACCTGTATTCATATCACTTACTCTGGCTGCTATCGGTTTCCCCTTGTGGCAATATCTGTTGTTCCCTACTGCTGTTATCTGCCATTTGTTACATGCAAGAAAACCTCTTTTTGAAACAGTTATTTTCTGCCTCTGTACCTGTGTCTGTTGCTGTGGAGATCTCCAAAGAGCCAAAAATCTTCATTTCGCCACTGTAGCTTAACTATCTGTGTATGCACTGATTTTCTCCGGATTGTGTGGTGTTTTTCCAATCATCTGTCATCTATCTTTTAATTTTCATAATATTTATGTAATTTCTTTGCCAAATTTACACAACAAAATTCTCCAGATTATGATTGTAAATTCAAATTTGTACAAATGCTGGCCAGGATTAAAACAAAATGGTGGACCAATGTCATCACACAATGTGTCCCCACATTACCGCATATTATTGCTTTACATAAATCATAACATCTACAGCACTGTGTGTGCTGTTTTGTAATAAAACACTGTCGTTTGCGCCATAGATTAACTATGTGTACTGTCAAAATACTGTTGTATACACCAGAGATTTATTGTGTGTACTATTGGAAATACTACAGTTTACACATCAGTGGTAGCCAACTGTTTTCCTCAATCACAGCAACGTCTATTTGAGATCCCTCGTCACAGTATGAGATGTAAGCAGTTTAACCAAAGAGGGATTTTTCCTCCTCAGACTGTTTCATTTGAATAATCTTTTGATTCTGAGGAGATAAAGCTATCTAGTATTTCACGGGGAGAAGATGCAAAGACCAGAGAAAAATTTTCGCTGCACATAGTAATAATTGAACATATCTTTATCCAACCCTGAAAATTGTGTTTTATACTACTAAATACTTTCATACAGTATATTTATCACAACAAATGCAGTAATTTCCCCTGAAGACGTACTGTGTTTACTAGTATTATGGTCTCCACCATAGATCTATATACAACTGCTTTATTACAATCCAACAGTCACAATCACATACTAAACGTAGTCACACCATAGGCCTACTTACTTTAAAGCCTAAATGCAAAATGGCGGCAGAGAAACCTCTGGTGATAGTGACCTCTAATATTCCCATGCAGAAGAAGATAAGCAGCTCATTTCAACTTCCTGAACAGTGCTACTCTCCTCTTAGCATCAAAACAGATGTAACAGACCACCAGAGACCAATCACACTACTGTAGACCACTCAACCACACAGCACCAGAGTACAAATGACGGTGACAATGTAAACCGCACTTTATGAAAAAAGATTGTGTTCATAATAATAACAAACTGTGCAACAAGACCAAACAGAAAACCCTCACAAACTTCCACTCAGCAAACTTTGTCATACTGCATACAGAATATGTGACTTACCTTTAGAAGAGCTGCAGTAACAAGACATCAAAGTGCATCAACCTCCAGGTCAGCTGTGACAGCAAAGGAGGGGAGCTGAGCCATTTCATCTGGACTGTCTCCTATAGCAGAATCTGCTTATAAAAAGGTTGTATTCTGATTCCAGCAACATAAAAGCAAAGCAGTGTATAAAACCTGGTGATGGTGGCTGTAAGAGCGATTCTCTTGATACAGTTTGCTCTTAAGGAGGCAATGCAACAGCTCAGTAAGACAATATAATAATAGTAATAGTAATAAGACAGCATAGTTTTCCAGTGTCTTATTCTGAAAGGCTAAAATGAATAAGGCTGCAATAAATAGCTGTTTCCTGGACGTGTTCACTAAGTTCACCTTGTCAAGGATGTGAACAAACAATATTGAAATCCTGCTGTTGATTATTAGGCTGAAACTGATGACTTGCTCCATTCAGTGCTTCCCTCCACACTGTCTGCAGTAAACTGCTGGTCCTGGCCTGAAGAGCCTTGTCTCATTTTTATCTGTCTGACCCAGCGATAGAGGAGGTATTTACATCTTTTACCTAAGTAAAAATAGCAAAACCACACAATTGTGGTAGTATATCAGCAAAAAGTGAAAAGTACACAATGCGGAAAAGGCTCTGTGAGTGTATTATAAAGTTGGATTATCATTACTGATGCATTTCTTTGTTGGTCAACATAGAGCAAATTCTTCCTACCTTATGAACTGTTGAGGAGTTTTATAAGTTCAGTATTTAAAATATTAATTTTGTAAATTAGTGGAACAAAAAGTTCCTCTGAATTGTAGTGAAGTAGAAGTATAAAGTAGCATGAAACGGAAATACATAAATATACATAAAGTTCTTCAAAAACTAGTACAATACTTCAGTAAATATACAGACCTGTAGTTACTGCTCTGCCCTATAAAAGCTGTTATCCACTTATGTTAGCTTTACTGGGAGTGCCTGATGATGTTCCTTCTATAGGCTGCTGATGACAGTGGCTACCCTGCCTATAGTAGAAATTGGCCTTCAGGCCTTTCTGCCAGAAAGCCGAAGACTTTTGTAACACATGGTTAACATCGTGAAAGGGTCTATTTTAACCAAAACCATGATCCTTTTCTAATCCTAACCAAATAGTTTTGTTACTTATAACAAACTTTGACTGAAAACTGAAGTCTAAAAGTAAAAAGTCATCATTGACGTTTGGTTTCACACAGAATTCCAGTCTCCAAGGTGAAAGTCCTGTGTTTGACCCATTCATCCACCACAACCTCCCCCCAAAGTGAACTTTGTCAGTGTCACCTGACTTCAAAGGTTTTCTGGCAGAAAGCCCCAAAAAGCCCTGAAAGACAAACTTGCAGCAATGCAGCAATGAAATGAATGAAAATACTACCTGTCCAGTTTCTGCATGGCTACCCAAGCACTACATTAGCACTATAGACATTTGGTGCTAAAAAGGTTTGTTGGATAGATAAATACAAATATAAATTCACCAGAATGCACATGAACTTCTCCAGAGATGTTCACTGGGGAGCAGGTTAATTAAATGCTACTCTAACCCATTTAAAATGGTGGATTATTTCTGTCTCGCTGACCAACTAAAGTGATGCTCAGCAGAATCGTGCTCAGTGGTGCCACTGGTTGCCAGAAGCTGTACTGCACTAATACTGTTGTCTTGCCCTTTATAGGCAATAATAAGCAAATTAATCAGTCTTTCTGATAAGCTGAAATGTGTTCTTGAGGTTTTTTGGCCATATTTTCTGCTTAATGGTTATCTACTGTGCTGGGAAATCTAGGCATCTCTTAATTTTTGTGTTTGTATTCAACAACTACAAATCCCACAGGGTTTGGACAGAATGCAAAATATTCTCAAAAAATGTTTTCATTACTTTGCACTGAGCAAAAATCACATAGAATATCTCTGAGAACATTTCCAATGTCTCCATTTGCCATTGTAACAGCAGTTCTATTGCATGCAGTTATCCCTGGCCTGCATTTCTGAGTTAACCTAATACAGATGTGCTCAGTGCAAAGTCCACCTCTGCTTCCGCCCCCTTCTTTGATTGGCTGATGGAAATGGAAGAAGTTAGGGGAGGAAAAATTCTCCACCCAGCTGTCATGATTTTCCTTTTTTGCCATCTTTCCCTGCTTTCTTTACAGACACCGGCAAGATGGCCTCGGCACATGACAGAGCTGTACTCCAAGCTATATTCAACCCCACAACCCCCTTAGGAGACATCCCTGGCCTGAACCAAGAGGAGGAATTAATTGATGATGGTGAGCGTGTGCTTCTGACTTGATGTGTCTCTACGTATCATGTCACAGCTCTTTATGTTTATCATTTCATAGCATATTGAATTTATTTGAACACATCCCATTCCTGGACTAAAAAAACATGACATTTTAATCCAAGTTGAGTTCCGGATGACATTTCTGTGTTTTCCTTGCCACGGTAGCTGTCAATTGAGTTTGAGTGCTTTTTCAACCTGTTTATCTCCCCTTTCCAGACAGTGGCTTTGACACAGAGTTGCTGAAGCAGGTGAAAGAGTTGGAGAAGCAGGGTGTCTCGGCAGCAGAGGCTGGGGATTTGCAAGCTGCACTTCAACTGTTCAGCCAGGCAATCCAGATCTTGCCTCAGCGAGCCTCAGCCTATAACAACCGGGCACAGGCCCTGCGGCTGCAGGGGAACACAGCAGGTACATGCCACAAATTCAATAAGAACCCTTTCAAGACACCACAGTGTGCCGACATATCAGACTGTTGAGGCTGAGGCCAGTGTGACACCATATCAGACCTTTGTCTGTGTGATGCCCTTTGTCAACTGTGTTAAAACACAGGCTCTGAATCAGCCTTGTGTTAGGTACTATTACCTGCTGTCTCTCACAAAGGTGGCCAGGTTGTATATGCTGAATGTGCAGAATTACATGGATTTTTTTTTAAAAGGTTGAAGGTGCCCTGTATTTTATAGATTCTGTCTAATTATTAAGTACAGCAATGTACAACACTGTCATTACAAAACTGACGGATGTAAGAGATTATAGCCACTGCTTACATTATTATAACCACTTTAAATGTTATTTCTTGGATTATTAAACCTCTTTGGCACATGTGAGTATTGCATTTTACACTCACTCCTAGGAGAAGACTCCTTCAATAACACCATGTACTCAAAAGTGTGAAATCATTTTACTTGCATTGTCTGTTCCTAACATTGGAGTTTCTATTAATAGGTACTTTTGGCTATAACTTGGTGCCAGTTGTTGCTCATGCTGACTAACAAGATCTTCTAAATCTTCACAAAAGAACACATGTCTATTTAAAATGATATGCAGAGAATTAACTGAGCACAGGCTGAATTACTAATGTACTACAGGGTAGCAATAGTAGCTACTGCAGTACATCTGAAAATGAAAATGTGTATCACTGGAAAATAGTACAGAGATTAATACATTTGAGACTGCTGTACTTTTTGGATCAATGAAAAACAACAGATTGTTAGGTTATAGTCAGTATGATAATATTGGAATGACTAACTATGTAGCTTATTATGCTTACTCTACAATGGGCTAATTGGTGGTAATTCAAAGCAAATTCAGCCACATTACTCAGAGTGAATATTGCAGTAGACTGACTTCAAGCCCAGACTGAGTAGTGTGTAATACATAATAAATTGAAAATGAACTTCCCAGACATGTGCTCTCTCCCCTCAGGTGCGCTGGAGGACCTGGACCGAGCCATCTCTCTGAGCGGTGGCACTGGACGAACTGCTTGCCAGGGGCTGGTGCAAAGAGGCCTTTTACGTAGATTAGCATGCCAGGAGGATGCAGCCAGAGCAGATTTTGAGAAAGCAGCTGCCCTTGGAAGTGAATTTGCTCGACAACAGGCTGTGCTTCTTAATCCGTATGCAGCACTGTGCAACAAAATGCTGTCGGAGGTGATCAACAAACTACGCAACCCGCCAGTGTCTGAGATGCAACAGTAACAATTTCTTACTTTTACACTTTTCTGTTTGTGTATGTGGTTAATAAAACAACATTTTTATCTTCTGATGTCCTTTTTTATTCCACTGACTGTGCTGCTGTAAAATAAATGAGGCCAACTGCAAGTCAGATTTATTGTACAGTTTAATGTCAGTGACACACATAGATCACAGTCCTCTTCTTTTCCATAGCAAAGACAGTCTAAATTAGAAACAAGGTGTCAGTGTTCTCATCACAAAGCATGCACTGCTATATTTAATCAATGTTACATATAGGACATGTGACATTATGTTCATCATTCAAATACCAAACTCTTTTTGTGGTACTTCAGATTTTGTCCACTAGATGACAGTGTTGTCATGTTGAGAACATTCAAGAACAGCAAAACTGAACCAATGCTTTTCACCACAAGAATGAAATCGGAAGGAACAAACCATGTTAGTCAGCTCAGTATGCCAAACAAAGGCAAATGTTGTGATATTAGAGAACATAAAGACCCTCAAACACCATATCAGTAAAACAGTTTAGTGTCCTCAGAGGACAGAGGAGAGATTTAAGTTTTATCTTCTCTCAATAAACACTGCATGAATAGATCCATGTTGAAGCATTATGTCTACTTACAGACAAATGATTTAAGGAGACGTTACAAGAAAAGAGAGGATGGGTAAATAACGTCAAAACCATCAGACTGTTTATGCCAAAGTAAATTATTCACCTATACAGTATCTGTCTGCAGGGCTTCAACACACAGTTCCCCTTATGTTTCTGTACAGTAGCAGTATATGCGGAGGATTTATCCACTTTACAGTTTGGTGGGTGCATATATATCACATCTGAGTGATTCTAAACATGGCATAGCTCGCCCACTGAGCTCTGGGACCATGAGCATTATCTTTTTGCTTCTGCATATCTTTCTCTGACCTCTCCCAGGCAGGCTAAAGCCACCGGCTCTGTGCGCTCCTCTCTCTGGTAAAAGGAGCAGGTTTTCAGGTGATCTGACATAGGAGGAGTGTTGCTGAAGCTCCATCTGTCCACAGAGGAAAACAAAGAGCTGTACTCCCAAACCTGTAAAACAAAGAGACAGAGCTGAAGTAGGTGTAGGAGGCTGCTGTCATGGTATCAGCTTTACTGCAGCTATGGCCATGAGGATAAATCTATGTTGTAGTATCCATGGAATCTAGATGAGAGTATTTTTATCACATCGAGGCATGATGTTTTTTCTGCGTCTATCCATTACAAATTTATACAAATTATGCCCTTCATTGAGGAGCAAATACCCAGCTGTCACACACACAGTCTTATCAAAACCAAGTTTCCATGAATGATCACATATCTGACTTGTTATGGTAGCACTGTGTTTACTGGCAGCAAGGCCTCAGGCCATTCCACATCACTGATATCATCGTCACGCTCTTTGTCCCATGATCACTGCAGTACAGAGATAGAGTCAATGTAAAAATACACAATTGTGCATTTATACTATAAATAGCAGAGAGGTTATGCTTTTTATTTTGGAAGTTTGTTTGTTTGTTTGTTTGATATCTGAAAAACAACAGATTTGAAAAAATAATTGGTGGAAAGTTAGCCAAACAACAAAAGATAAAACAGATTATTTTACTGTAATCACTTATTTAACTGACCCTACATTCAAATTTTGGTTCATAACTGTGGGACTGTGACTGACTTCAAGAATTCTTTGTTTCTTGACAAATATTTCAACCTGCTTAAACAGATAATACTTGTTCAATAATACTCCCACTAATTCCATCCAATCGGCACCAAATTTGATACATACCTATTTTGTATGAGCTGTCAAAATATTTTGATTTGTTTCTTATTTTCTGTATTGTTTTCCTCTGCCTGCCTGGTTGCCAAATTCTTCTAGATGTCATAATTTGATGTAAACTGCCATACCTTAAATATATTGTGTAGTTGCAACCAAAATTAGATGACATGTGCAATATGCTGCCTCAAGAAATCCTGCACATTTGATGGATGTATAGTCTGCACTACAACAACATGATGAATTGAAATGGCCCCTTGCTCAATGGTCCTGAGTCTGAACCACTTTCATCCTTACAGTGCTCATAATTCCAGACAGGATTTAGATAATCTTCAAAAAATTAAGGCAGCTGGGGGCATCTGCAAGGCTCAGACCACTAGGCGTCCCTGTGGTGGTCTAAGCCATAAGATCGAAGGCCTAGCTTAGTGGTCTAATGTAAACACAGAATCCCTGGTTTGAATCCAACTGTTGCATGTGACTGTCACACTCCTGTTTGTCCTGAATGTCAACTATCATGAAGAAAATATGGCAGCAACCACCCAGTTAGCATTGGTTGTCTGTTTGTGTATTTTATTTGGATCCAGATGCATATTTCTGCCTCCTATAGAACTTTCCTTTTTTATTTTATACAGTAGAACAAAATCAGCATGTAACACTAAATGATTTAAGTTCTCAGCTGTCTAGTTACTAGAGCACTGCTTTGACACCAAAGACAGCAAAGAAAACAAAATGTCTTTTTCCAAACACTTCCTCATGGTGCCTGACCACACATGCACCATGACACATGCAAGGACACAAACTTAGGAAGTGGCTGCTTTAGTGGAAACACATTAAATGTTGCCAACACAGATCAGTTAGTAACATTGTTAGAGATAACTATGGAGAGTCTGGAGGGTGTTTACAATGCAGCAGCTGTCATGCTGTATGGATGACATTTTCCAATGACAGTTAACAGAATGGTGCCAGATACTAAAGTGTACTAATATAGAACTTTGGCCGTGTGTTTACTTTTCCTTCACTGTGAACAAGTTGAGATCAATTAAATGTAGGAGATGAAATGGTAGTGGTGCTCAATCTGTATAATAAATAAATATAATGCAGTTTTTCTCCATAGTTATGTTGACAGAAACAACTAGAGTTGTAAAAGATGATTCAGCCAGTAAGTCTAAGATAATACATTCAACTTCTAAAACTTCTTGAGGATACTTGCTTTCTTTCGACATTTCCAGGAGCTTCCCCCATGGGAATGTGTCTTTTTCTCCCACTTGAAGGACACCATCCCTCTCTCCTGCACCAATGTGGCACACACCTCTCTCATCAGATGGGAGACCTGGGACATCTGAGATAATGTATAACTGTCAAGGTAACCAGCAATATGCTGAAGGATCTCTAGGGGCAGGCGGCTCAGGGGATCCAGATTATGTGCACCATCTCTCTGAGGGTAGAAAGTTTTCCCGCCTTCAGGGAGGGATGAAGGGACTTCTGGCTGGAGGACAAAGGAGCTGACATCTTGGCAGAATTTTATTGTGGCTTGGTGACCTGCAGGTTGAAACCTTGTCTGGATGAAAGTGCAGCCAAGGTATGCTAAAGGGCAGCGTTGTTCGAACCAGCCACTTAGAGAGGCCTGTATGTCAGAGTGCACATTCCTGAAATGAGAGCAGTATTCATCGCGACGAAAGAAGTGGCCACACATGTAGCTGAAGGCTGAACTTGTTCTGTTATGTCTTCTGGTGACAGATTCTGCTTCGACGTGCACATAAAGACCATGAGGTTTGTCTGCGATGACATCAGCAAGCGAAGCATCTCTTTCGAACGGAGCAGAGGCAAAGTTGTATGTTTGTGTTCCTATATCGACATAAAGACCATCTATCCCCACACTCTCTGAGATTAAATGTCCTTTCAGTTCCTTTTCCAGGGAGCACAGCAGTGTGGCGCTAATCTCATCACACTTCGGAAGATCCTCAACCGACACACCCAAATCTGCAGTGTCAACACTCTGGTGTGTTTTCTTGGCGGCTTGTGCGGGGTCCTTCAGGTGATGGCGCTTAGCTCGATAGCTGGTAGGAACGTTGAATGTGCGGACTGTTTTAACCTCGATGGGCTCCAGATTCCCATAAACAAAATCCTTTTCTCTCGGGGTGCAAGCAGCAAGTTGGCCAAAGTTAATCAACATTGCCCCATTGTGCACCAGATACATGTTATATTCAGCAATGTTGACTTCCTTGCCTAACCTCTCAAGGACCCCGTCTTGCCATGGCGCAAGGCCAGTTGTACCCTGCATGCTTGGAGCAGCAGCAGCAGCAGCAGCAGCAGCATTGTCTTGGCTCAGGTGTGAATCTCTTGTGTCTCCCTGACAGTTTGATGATTGTTGCTCTTCCCTTTCCTTTCCTTTTACCTCTTTCTTATTCAGGTTTTTGACAGTTTGCTTGCATCCGTCCATCTCCTTTCTGAATATTTTCTCCCAAGAGCTGTATTTCTGAATACTATCTACGTTCCTGCTCTTTCCCAAAGCATCCCTCTCCTCTTGACTCGGTTCTTTTTCCTCCATTTTTGTGCAGCCATTTTCTGTAAAATCACCACAAACAAAAGAACTGGTTGTTTCCTCTGCAGGACTGTTGACCCCAGCAGAAATATCTTGAAGGGCAGGTTCCTGCACCATCAACTCAGGAAAAATGCTCTTCATTTTGATGGATCGAAACAGCAGCTCTTGGTCCCTGAGAGCCATAGCAACATCAAGGTTTACCTCAGTTTGAGTGTTTGCTGATACATTTTTGTAGAAGGTCAGATCAATTTCTGAAACAGGCCAACGGTTCCACTCCTGAGAGCAGCAGACCACGCTGGCAGGACAGACCTCCAGGTGTTTGGCCAGCCTGTGGCGCAGCATGGTGAGAGGACAGCCATAGATGACATTGAGGCAGGGGACCGTCTCATTGGGACAGAGAAGGTGGTGCTCCTCTTCCTTGCACATATGGAGGATGGCACCACAGTTTTTACGACACTTAATGACCATGCATGAGACAGAAATCTGCACCGGGACTTGACAGTGGACATTGTAACACTTGTCACAATGCTCATGATGGCCCACGGGCATCTTTCTGCTTTTCACCTTTAAAGAGAAATAACACAACACAGACAGTAGGCAGCATTTAGGTCAATACTCGGCGAATTAAAAGCTACGACAACAGTTTCAAGTAATGTGAGAATCATAGTTTATTGTGAATTTAAAATGCTGACATAAAATTGAGAATTAATTAATTTACCATTGTAGCTTATGAAAACACTGATCATCCGAGAAGAGGTTCAAGCCAGACACACTGTTAGAAAACATAGTAACATGTATTATTTTTATACTGCACACATAAGCTAGTTCTAAGAAAGATATTGTTAATGTACAGGTCAGACTAATTTTTTAATAGAAATAATGAAGACTTAAAATTCATAAAGGAGTTAATTTAATTTGAAATATTAAATTTTATAATATAAGATAAGTCATTAGTATACACAGAGGAATTACATTTTCAGCTCAACAAAGACTAAAGTCTAAAAACAGAAATTTACGCTTTAGTAAATATTGAAAGTGAACAACTGCAGTAATAACAGTAACATTTCTCACCCTTTGTTCCTCTGAGCCTGTCACCTTGTGTTTGCTGGCACCTCTGAATAACCTCTGCACTGTGTCTGGACATTATAAATGGACACAACAGAGGGGCAGACAGGCCAGTGGGACGGGGCACCACTGTTGCACAGCCATTAAGAGGCAAGGTCAAGTTACAGCCCCTACCACTGCTTCACTGTGAGAGGGTGGTGATAATAGCAGGTAATCCAAGTTCTCAACAGTTTAACTACTGAACAAAAACAACATCTAATCCATGCAATACATTGTCTGTACATGTTGTACCCAGTCAACTCTCTATATTCAATGATCAGTTTACATTTTATTATTCTATTAAAATATCTTATATCTAGTAATGTGTTTTTTACAGATGAAAAATAAAAGGAAATTAAATGATTATTTATATGCAATTCTTCCTTTAAACAAAATGTACACAGTATAGTGTCATGCTTTTGGCTTATATGTCCTGATCCATGTCCTCCACTAGATGTCAGTCACACGCTTTTAAAAACTCAAGCAACATTTCCCCAGTAGCTGTCTCTGCTGTCAGATAAAATTCACAACATGGATTAGTTAAATTCTTTGGAGTTGCATTGTGAGATCAAAAAGGTATTTTTCATGATGTTTTGAAAATTTTGGTTTTAACACAGGTTCATTTAAATTCACCTCAAGCCTGTGCAGTTGATTATGTCCAAGTTTGAACCGAAAATTGAGGCAGTTTTAAAACCCATGTGTAATTTCTTAAGGGAATTAGCTGGAGGGAAACTTATCTTCATCAAGTGATGTTTTGATTCAACACTGAAATTCACTCTCGACACCTTCTATCATTTATGGAATAGACCCAAATAGCTGCCTCTTTGAATTAAATCACAATTTAGCGGTGTCATAACACAGACCTCTGCTGCTGCAGTAGTTTGATGGTACACATACAGTAGCTTATTATGTGTTATGATTTCAAACTATATATAAAAAGGTGCACACCTGTAATTCTGTGATGTTTGTCATTCATGCCGTGTCTTCTACTCACTTGCTACTGTGTTGTGGAAGATAATGGGGCATTGATCCAGTCTAACTAGCTTTAACTAATTACACTAATTTACATTAAAGCTGGCTGAACTATCATCCCATTCACTCCTCCACCTCACCCTGCAAACACCTCCTGACACCCATTTTCCAAGCCGTGTGTAAAAAGTGCTGGATCCACAATCTGCATCTGGGAGCCGTCATGCAACTTTTTTTTTTTTCACCTGGCACAGATTACAATGAACAGCTTATCAGAGGCAGCTGCTTCTCTCTCTATAGGCTCTGCAATCAGCATACATTTCATCAAGAGAGAGACACAGAGAGAGAGACTTAAGTGTGGGGAAAAAAATGCTTGCTATTTCGGTATCTTGTTGCTATACAACAACAGCACAGCTGAGAGTTTGTGCAGTTTAGATTAGTCAAATACAGTTGTAATAATGTGTCAAAGCAGGTGTAGCAACAATGGAGGTCTGTATAATTGCTGCTAAATTTACAATACCAAATTCAAAGTTGAAACTGTTTCTGTGTCATTCTCGAGCTTTAGCTAAGATGGCGGAGCGTTTACAATAGCCAGCTGTTGGCTTTGTGCAGTGATTCCCGTCATTGTTGTAGATTAGTGACACAAAAGCGCTAGTTTTAAAGAAATAGTTTTGGAGAATATGCTAGTTTTCTTTCTGAAGCTCGACACGACTCTCATATCTGAGGGGGGGTGCTAGTTTAGCTCTGTCCTGTAACAAAATCCACCACTCCAAAGCTAAACAATTAACACATTGTGGAGAGTAACAATAACTCGTAGATTTACAGGGGTTATATGTCTCACTATTTTTCGGTCGGGACCGGCTGCCAGACAACCAGCGGAGACTCCAGGAAGTACTGCTCCCTGTAAAATACCCCTGCATTTAACCCCCTGTGGAAACGCAAATTGACATTTTTACACTTTGGTTTTTGTTCATATTGAACGAGTTAAAACATATCAGCGACCTTTAGATGTGCTGGTAGGTCTTTTCACCTGTTTCAAGTCTTATGTTAAGTTAAAGTAGCTGGTTTCTGGTGGTAGCTTCAATTGCCAAAAAGAGGTATCAATCTACTCATGTCCCTCTCCTCCAAAAAGGGAATATATAATTATAATCTATGTATAACAGGACAAAGAACAAACTACAGATAGTTTGCTTCTAAATTAATTTGGATTGATGATAAATTCATCTAAATTAATGATAATTACATCCACCAATTTACAAACTTTTATTTCATCAATAAAAATCTCTGACATTTTCTTTTGAAAAAATAGTAATTTTCAAGTTTTACTAACATATTGCAAAGTAAAAAGATGTTTAACAGAATCCCATGTAATAAAAGCATTGTGGCTGCTCAGTTTAAGTTCTTATGCAACCTGGCAGCTCAAAAAGAGAATAATTACAGCTTGTCCATTTTATGTAGCACGAATTTGAGTAATTCTGGGGCTATGGGTTAATGATTCATGCAAGCACCATGTCATTTAACTCTAATTTAATGTTGAATGCTGAAATGTGACTGGACAGCTTTAGATGGCAGAGAAAAAAATCAGACTTGATTAATATTCAAAGCATTCAAAAGCTGTCAGCAGACAGCAGGACTAATGACAGCATCACTGGTTTCAAGTTTCATATTGAAGGTTTGTCTGCTTCTATCAACATACATACATACAGTGCAACCTTATATGCTTGGCAACGCTTCCAATACATCTCATCCAATTCTCTGAGATTTTCCCCTTTATTACCATTCCTCTTAAAGATTGCCTCCATTTTGGGATTTCTATCTAGTTTATTATACCTGGCAAAACATATTAATAAGGCCAAACCATTGGGACGACATATAGAAAAATGTGCTACTGCTGAATTTCCAAAGACCCGGGAAACTTTGTTGGTACTGTGTTTATTACAGAGCTCGGCCCAACAGAGGCCTATAAATAAGCTGCAGACTGCTATGGAAATCTTAAATGAAAATGAAAATGTACCAACTCATACTTGAGCTCAAATACTGTATGAGTTAGAACTTTTAGGCGGAGAAACCAAAAACTGCATCAGATCTGCATGTTTTGACGTGTATATGAATTCAATTAAAACATGACATGACTTGGGGCACTCAAGTCTTTTGACAATGTGCAAAAAGAGATAAGACTTGATGATCACTCAAGGATCATTTCAAGATCATGTCATTATTCACGTTTTGTGTTGTTAACATGAGTGTACCACTGTATATGCATATTATACTATATTATAAGACATATTATTTGATTAATTAGTGTAGTAGTTGACATAAAAATTTAAAAGCAGTTTACCTTGAAAAAGTCTTTTTTTAAAACTAAAATGTACCGGTTCCAGCTTCTCCAATAAGATATTTTGCTTGTTTTATATTGCTGTCAATATTATTATTTTTTAAAATTAATTAATGGACTTGGAGAGACCATTAATTAATAAAATAAACCAAAAACAACACATGTGTTTTCACATGAACTGTCTGGAGAATTGAGGTGTCACATGTGATTTATTTTCTGTAAGGGCTTGTTTCCTTCTCAGAACCTGGCAAGTAATGTGCCAATGCTTATTTTTTTTTTTTTTTTTTTTACTGAGTTAAAAAAGGACTATTCAACTCATTAAAACTATAAACCATCAACCTCCATCATCTTAAGGCACTAAAGTCTCTTTAACCTGACACTGCAAATCACCTCACAGCTGTAGGATATGTTTAATAGTATATGCCTTTGGGTGAGAATTATCCTACGAGCCCCTTCTGGATGACATATCGGAGCATATGGTCAGCCTAAAATAGGAGAGAAAGTGTAGATACCCAACTTCACACCTAGTTTTCACTTTCTCATTATACAGCCACCCCCTACTCCCTTCCCATTCCCATTTAATTAAGAGGGTGTCATACACGTTACTTGAAATCCCTCTGCAGTTCAACTCTCCAGCCTCTTGTCAGACCTGAGTGAATGAAAACGAGACGGTTTGCTAACCCTGACCAATGAACATGCAAATGTTTATGGGCATATCAATTTAGCTTCCAGCCTTTCAGCACCCAATATTCTGCTTTTAATTACAAAGGCTAATTAAAAGTACCTTGTAATGAAGTCTGTGTAGGTTCCCCCTAGGGCAGCGCACTTTGTGTCATTTTGCATCATTAATGGAGAATATGCTGAAAAATGACAAAATCTCAAAAATTGTAAATGAGACATTTCACTCCACTTGTTTTCCTAATGTCAGGGGCTAATAACTACTAAGAGAAGGAGGACAATGTGTGGGGGAAGTTTTCAGCACCGAGTCATTTCATGCTCAATATACAGCCATAATAAATGATAGATCATATAAAATTCATGAAAGTAGTAAAAAAAAAGCTTGTTGTAGACAAGTCAAATAATAAAGTGCACTGAGGCCATTTATCAGCTCTGTCTTGTCCCCGCAGGAGGAACTTTTATAAGTATAATGTGCACATTCAAAGTTGTCCTTCACATGTACATGTACAGTCACCTGGTATGTGTCAATCTAAGTATGACAACAGACATAAAAAATATAATCTTTGCCAAACTTCCACATTCCAGTGGGAGTCACCAGGTTGTAAGTGAGTATCCATGGGCATGTTTTTGTACATGTGTGTTACACTTGTTATCTGCAAGCTCTGCCTCCATCTGGGGAGCATAAAGCTGTACTTTCACTCAGACAGAAATAATATTTTCTACACACTTTTGTTATTGTACAGAAGTACATGTACTTTATGTCCTATACCATATTGCTCGACAGTGGAACAGTTTGTACTTGTGTGGCTGCCGGCTGAAAACAGCATGTGGAAAAGTTACCAACCAGGTATGCTTATAACCTGCAGTGAATGACATTATATTTAAGGCCATAGACTTACGGTAACAAGGAGATACAGCTATGTCAGTGTTATGATATGCAATTGTTATCATTGAGTTCAGTAACTCTAAACATGCATTAATTGGGGTTTTGTCCACATGGGGGGGGGGGACTAACAGAAGCACATATCTGACACATTATTTCCATATAAAGTGGTTATGGATATTTTGTGCTCATTGTGGTCCTGT